TGGGTGTGGGTGTGGGTGTGGGTGGGTGTGGGTGGGTGTAGGTGTGGGTGTGGGTGTGGGTGTGGGTGTGGATGTAGATGAAAAGAAGACCCATACCCACACTCACCCACACCCACACCCACACCCACACCCACACCCACACCCACACCCTTAGGTGGTGGAATAGTAAATGTACCAATCATAGTATTAATAGGAATACGGCATACTCTATTAGTAGGATTAACAACAGTGGTATATGTTCGATATTTGTCAATAGATATTAGGGCATTAGGTATAGCAACAAGATTATGAGATTGAAGAACTCGGTTTGGACGAAAAATAACTTGAGGAGAAGATGATATAGGTGATTGTAATTCAATAATTCTTTCATGTTGTGGTGGAATAATGATTGCAATTGTTGATTTAAGAGGAAAATGGTGTTGATTAATACGATGGTCCATTGGAATCGTGACACTCAATTCAGCAGTATGAATAATCACTTGTTGTGTAGATTGACAAATATCTACCGAATATTTATTCAACCAATATTGTCCGAGAATACAGAGATGAGATAACGATTTCGAAATAAAATCAGAGATAGGTGTTGTGATTTGACCAATACGAAGATTAAGATGAACAATACCGATGATATTAACGTTGGTATTACCATCAGCTAAAGTGAAACGTTGTTTAATGTTTGTAATTGAGACATTACGAAGACGGCGAACAATGGATGTATGAATAAATGAATGTGTAGCACCCGTATCAAGAAGACATGGTAAATGGATATTGTGAACAAAAGCAGAAATAAAAGATAAAGAGGATGGTTTTATCATTGATACAGAGGAGTCACCATCAAACACCTCTGTTATTGGTTTTTTTGTTGACGAGATGCAGATGGAAATGATGACGGATTATTTCTTTGATAACAATTACGAGCGATATGTCCCCACTTCCCACAATGATAACATTGAATATCCTTTGTACGTGAAGGTTTATTTGACTGTGATGATGGTGTTGAATTTGATGAAGATTGAAAATTTCTATCCGACGAAAATGATTGTGGAGCACGACCTGGATTTGGAAATGTACGATAATAACGAGAATCATATGTATCTGGTTGAACATTTGATTGATAGAAATGATGCGAAGAAAATGACGATGATGGATTTTGATGATGAACGTAAGAAGATGAGTCAATCTGTGCACGAGAGCTCAGATTATCATTGTGTTGTTGTTTTGTCGTTGAAGCGTTAATCGAAATTTGACGTAATTCCACCAGCTTCTCTATATTTTCCAGTTGTTGAACTTTAAGTAGAAATTCTTTCGGTGTAGAATAATCATCTTTAATCGCCTCTTGATATAATGACAATCGTAATCCTAAAATAAGTTTACGAACTTTTTGTTTATCTGACATAGTCGGATCGCATTAATGACATAATTCCATCATATCATAATAATATTTAATAACTGGTTCATTGGGTTGTTGTTTACGTTGATTCATTTGTTGTTCCAATAGATATTCATTCTTTTCGCCGAATTGTTCGGTGAACATTTGTTTGAAACACGACCAATTGCTAATAAAAGATTTATTTTCTGTCCACCATCGATATGCATAGGTTTTTAAAAATGCTGGAGCATATTGAAAACATAATTCATCCTTATTACCGGGTAGACGAATGATATCAAAAAAATGAGCAATACTAGCGAGCCATTTAGACGCATCATCTTCTGGATTACCGAAAAATGGTTTGACAAAATCTTTCATTTGTTGTAATGGATCGATATTAATAACATATTGAATCGATGGAATAGTTGAAGTGATTGTAGACGATTGTGTCGAAACATTCGTTGGACATGATATGGTTGATTGAAAATTCGAGGGATTCATTTGATCGATTAATGGTTGAGAAGAAGATTTCAACATTTGTAATTCAGCTTTCAGACGATCAACTTCATTTTGTAATAATTGACCAGATTCATGCGAAAATCGTGCCGGTGATGGTTTCAAGGAATGATGAGATGGTGATGATTTTGGTTCCGTAGTTTGATGTTGTGTACCAAAATGAGAGTGTAGCTCAGGATTCAGTATATGATCATTATATGATTGGGATGAATCTTCAGCTTTTGTGAAAGAACTTGCCATCGAAAATGAATCACGAAGTTGATTAATTGATGATGAGATTGTGGATTCTTTGGAAGGATGATTATATTTAGTTTTGGAACGTGTGAAATGTTGGTGACTGTGCATAAACGAATATAACGAAAATAAGATGCGGTACCATCGAACACAAGACGACCCGTCCGATAATAACAAAAATTTATCACTTGGCTAGTGCACCAGTTAGAATGTCCGCTTGCCTCTCTTCCCCTCTCGTGAGAAGAGTATATATAGTTAAGTATATGACGTTTTGGATGAGTGATTAATATTCTATCTTTATTGAAAAAAACACGAAGTATATATATAGGAAGAGAAAATTGGACTAGTCAGGGAAGAAGTTGAGATTTTCTTCGTCTGATTGAAAAAGAACAACAAGTAGGGTTATAACAAAAGACGTCAGTGAAGAAGAGTAGGTCAAACGGGTAAGAACATATAGTAACAAAAGAAATATAAAATCACCCATATATCCTAACACACACCCACACCCACACCCCAATATGCAGAGTGAGATGATTGAAAATAGTACCAGCAGATAAGTTAATATTTTCCGCATAGAAACCATACTTTGACTCATATGTTAATGTTAAATCATTCATTATATCTTAAGTCTGATTAAAGGCAATCTTCCCAGTCGACTGGTCTATTGAAGGATTCCTAATTCAATATTTTTCATACTTTCATGAAATTCAACAATTTAAAAATTTTTTAAATCGCTATCTACAGATGATCTATCAACTTAATGATTCCAATATTCTGTCCGGAACAAATTGATTGGCCAATAATTTCATCAGAACGAATTGTTCCAAGTGTGACTTTTATTCTTCCTATTTTATGGCATGATTCCATCGGCTGAGTCGCTCAGTCATTGTTTTAACACTCACAGTACTTAGCGAGTGAATCTGCCGATGTAGAATCATGCTGGTTAAAAGTTTACTTAGTAGTGTAAAATAGTGAGTCAATTTTTTATCCAAACTTTGAGTTCTCTAATCACATACATTGCTCCTTTCAGAAATGATAATGTCATATTCGAACAACCTAGAATAACAGGTTGCAAGATTGTGATCAATTATTTTACGAAATTTTAAAACAATGCTTTGATATTCCTCATTAGCATGGAGACTCTATCGTAAATGAACTCTTGGAATCAATCATCTCTTCATCAATGTGACGAAAACGTTTTACACTCCTTCTTTCTCTGTGTGATAATACTATGTCACGTGCCACATGAATAAGTAAGAGGATTGATATGTTCTCCTATTTCCCTAAAGATATTACGATTCGGAAAGGTCAGTCAAACTCATTATTACATACCAAATGAACCATTTGAATGAATATTTTCACTAATTCAACTCATGCAGAATCGAATCATGTATATTTATGGACATTGATCGTCGATCTCATGAAAAAAGAATAACGATAACGCTTTGTAAAATAGCTCGGTTTACTTATTCCAACTTTCTTTTAATCATTGATAGAAATTCAGACAACCGATTAAATATCGTATAGACAATGAATACAGATAACACATACCGGGTTCTACTATAGCAAGTCTTAAGAAGTGTTCTTTTGAACCTTCTCAAATAATAAATATTTCATGATATAAATGAATAAAACTATTCCAATTATTTTGTATGTCTTCGTCGTTATCTTACTTTCAAAGTTGAAGTTAAATTGATTAATCAATGAGTACACGACATATGAATGATTTCCAGCAGACTTGTATTCGTTTCTTCTAATCGCATCGATCAATATGATTCAGGCTGCTATAGTTGGATGATAGATCACGTCACAACGGAACAATTGAAACCAATGTGTCATTCAAATATTTATCAGTATGTAATTGAAAGGTGAGTCGATAAGTTCACTAAAAATCATATTCGAGATAAATTATTCTCATCAATGTCGTATACATCTATCTTTCTCTTTCTGAAAGATAGCAGTACCAGGCAGCAATGTGGACTGAATATCGTGCAGCTCATGAATCATCCTGATTGATGTCATTTATCTACATCAGTAACCTCGTATAGAAGTATCCAGTTCATGTACTTAATAAGACATTTTAGAGTTAATGACGCACTATTTCCCAACAGTCTTATTCAAATATTGTTCAAATGCAAATAAATGTCGCAAAACTAAGAACTGATTAACAGTGACGGAGATGCATGAATAACTTTTACGCGGAACCCGTGCAGCTATTTCGGAGCGTGTGCGATGAAATACATTGGTATTTTTTTCGCAGACCATCCTATGGTAAATTAATAAAAGCCTTTTCGTCCTCCTCCTTCCAATCCCTTTGTTCATTTATGTGAAGTACATCAAAATGAAAGCTCCCAACGTATTCACACTTGAAAGCTGACACAGTGAATGATTGACTGCAATTCTTGTAATCTTTTTATTCATTTTATACACGTACAATTTCAACTTATACTTGTTAGTCATCGAATCCTTCAACGATCACCTGAAAAAGGAATTATTCGTATTGCACTCTTATTCTTCAACTATTTTAATAACACCAGTGATTAGGTTTTGATTAACAACAAAGGTGATCGATGACATGAAAACTGGATGAACAAGACCCAGTCGTATGGTTCATTAATTTTGATCGCTTGTGTGTTATACTTAGCTTGCTGCTCAGGAATAAAAACCATGTATAAAATGCACGAATGTTTCCCAGGTGGCCTGAAAAGTTAATTCATCTACCATATACCAATATGAAACCAATCATTCGACAGCATCATTTTGATGAGTCACCGAACAAATGAATGAGTGTCATCACCGTCAAGTTCTATTGACCTATCATGTAGACAATAACGTATATATGCCAATCGAATAACTATTTCTTATTCTCATATAACATATGAATGATTCAAAAAGTGCCAATATCTGTGTTCATTTATGTCAAATATTTGAAAGTCAAAATACTAGATTGCGAAGCATAAAGAGGATAGCATACCACATGAATCGAGGGAATCAGGATTCTATTCGATTATTTTCCATCCACTCCAGGACACAGATGGGCAACTCAGCTAATGTTTCACTACTGTATGAACAATGAATAATCATAACGGCACTTGTGACATTTTACGCAACCTTTCTGTACTACAACTTTACTTGTTACATAAAGAATCGTTTCAGTTGATTTAATAAATGAAGTTGCATGAGAAATGAACGATCTTAAGGATGCTGCAGTTCAGTTATCACCTTTCTTTAGTAGAGTTTAGAAGTTTTTGAACACATTTTAGTGGATGAGAGCATCGAATGGTTAGTACGGCCTTTAATACATAGTGCAACTATTCTACTGTTTAGAAGTAAAACTCTTGTTATGATCAACTAGTAATAGTTCGCAAAATATATGACTGTGCACGACAAAAGCTGTATTCATCTACTCCACTCTATCACAAGCAAGCATTTCAGAATACGTTGCTTATCATGAACGATCGGAGAAATAAATGACTTTGAAAGAGTGGCGTGCATTCATCTGGTTCAGCGAATTCTTTATATTCTAAATGAGAAAAACCCGACAGTCAGAAAATCAGAATGAGTATACATGATAGCTTTATCAGATTTTTGTTTAAGTTAAATAATAAACGCCACAGAGGTCTACTAATGAATAGAACGTCCTTAGTAATGAAAGTTGTGATCGTATCGTATCTAGTTAGTAATGATACCCGGTATGGGCTAAGTAGTCTTCACATTCGAAGTACTACATGACACGAATACATCAAATTAAAGAACCTACAGATATCCGTGTCATGCATTTTTCCCTCTGTACAACTCAATATTATCAGACATCATTTCTCATAATGAAAACATAATCTTTAATCTATGCATAAGTTTTTCATCGTACATAGTCAATGGAAAGGATGCCACTGAATTTCTTTGTCAATATGGAAGTTTTCTGATTTCGTGCTAAGTCGCTCAATCTCTGAATAAGATAGGCGCAAGGCATATCCAAGGAAGCCAACGTATCCCAATAGTCACAAAGATTAAAGGAGACCAAGGATTTTCAATATTTCCGGGGAAACAGAATGATGACAAAGCATGTGACGAAGTCGGACAATCAAATAAAATGAAGAGCAATCTATCATCTATTGTCATGACGGATAATTTTGAATGCAAGCGACAATTAAAGAAGTAATGCTTGATGGTGATAATAAGAATGAGATCAAAAGTGATGTCCTCTTACAGAAAAAATTGTTTGGAAGAAATTACAGCAATATCATATAACATCTCGACAAAGAGAAATTAATTTGCACTCTGTCTTCAAAGCCTATGATATTGAGCGCATGATCGGAGTCTATTGGCTCTTAACTATTTATAAATATGCCTAGACGATCCTCCAAAGCAGCTCTATTGAGTCACACTCCAGCAAATTCGTGAAAATCTCGTTGTTAACAATAGTCTTCATACACATGTAAAAGTGCCGATCATCTCCTCACAAGACAAGTACCACTATTTTAGAAAAATTTAGTTTATAATGAAACATGTATGCTAGCAGATGTTGTCGTCTGTCGAATTTTCACAAATACTCCTGAAAACGTCAAATACCACAAACCAAGGTTCCTTAAATCATCGAAGTTCATCTATAGAGAATCCTCAAGAAAACCAATGGTAATTAAAAACTTCAAAAAATCTGAGAAAAGGACGCAACTCGTTGATCCGAGACTTCAAAGAATAGTATGAATTGAGTTATTTCAAAGCCGTCAAGATATCTGATAAATTTCACGCTTTTTAACAAACTGCAAGACTTCGAGCAACTACTGAGAAAAAATTAGCAAGGTCTACAGAACTATTTAAAGTTCTGTGTGAAAGTATTGAATCATCAAGTGTTCTGTCCTGAACCGGTGAGCCATAATATGTGCTGTGTCCAATAGTGCTGAACTAAAACATTTCTGTTTCATCATACTGAATCTTGAAAGATTTTGACAATAAACGGATAAACTACAAAACGTCCAATATCAAAAGATACTGAAGGAGAGAAGTCTTTGCTTATTATTCAAAAATCCTCAAGACTAAGTCAATGAAAAAATAGAATCACAGAGACGTTTGAGAGAGAAAATTCGCTTCACCATATATTCATTTTGAAGTATTTTGACAGAAAGCCAGTACATGCATGTTTGAAATGTGCCTTAGGGTAAACGTTCGGCCAAACTATCGCATTAGTTTTCCCTCTCTTTTAATTCGACATATTTAATTCTAATCTTATATACATTCTCTCGACGACCGAGAAGGTTTTTGTCCTTGTAGACTGAGCTCGATTACATTCTCTTCTATTTTTCAACAATTATACTTTGCTTATATCTTTTAGCTAGTATTTTCTCAAGAATGCGATTCGGACAAATCATAGTCCTATTCAAAACATGAATCCCGTTTCCAATAAATCTGTTGAATAACGGTAAAGGCACATCAAATCTGTGATTTAAGAGCAGAATTTGGAAGTTTTCTTTTCAGATATACTTCATAAAAATATTTGCCTGCTATGTTTTAATACGATTTGTCTTTCGCTAGTCAAGGATTTAATCCGGCAAAATCAAAGGCGGCGCGAAGGGTAATCCAACAATGAGAGAAAGAGTAAAAAAAATTCTGTTTGCATGTGTTGATAATTTCTCGATGCTTTTTGCGCTCAAGTTTCTACGAACTGAAATTTTTTCGAATTCACAGAAACTTGTCTAATAAATTTACCGAAATTGGAGAAAACTTAAGATGCTTTTTCGAAAACTGGGAAACTTCCTCCAAAATTTTCGAAAAATAGGAGAAAATTGTCCCTCATTTCCTAAAGCAGGGGAATTATCCTCCCCAACCACCGTGGTACCACCCCTGAACAACATGATACAGTACTCTCAGTAGCAACTGCCCGATGTTATTTTGATTTTAGCTTTTTGTTAACATATCTGGTTTTGAGTCATGTTTGATCGACTTTTGTGGTACAGCTTGTACTACTAGAGCTGGAATGCTTGCGGTGGCTTTAAACTGATCAGATTTTGGTTCGACTGTAATTTTAGAAACATGAATGTATATTTATAAGAAGCAAGAGTTTTCTTTAATACATAATTCACTCACTGACAGAAAACTTTGTCTACTTTAGGTAATAAAAAAACCTAAAAACTGACGAATGATGAACTTTGTATAAAATAATCCTCTATGTCACTTGATGCCTAGAACCTTGAACGTTTTGCTTTACTGATCAAATCGATAATCATGTCATCAGTATAAACGAGTCTGCAGATATGAGCCATCCAAATTAAATTACTGAACACCAGAATCAGCTAAAATTGGCTTCACTCAAACAGCAAATTCAATAAGAAGAGATTTTTTCAGAATTTTTTCAAAAGGCGTTTGTGAAAGTATTCCACTGAATGAAATAGGGTGTGGGTGTGGGTGTGTGAGAGTGCAGGCATCTATGAGTATTATGATGATACTCACACACCTACACCATCATGTGGTTCCCATTCGGTCGTATACAAAAAGATGGATGCCGATTCATCCTGTGTTAGACCATCTTTAGATTGATCGCAATTGTCTTTGGCGATGTAAGCACGTCGGCGAACATCGGAACAAAATTCAACCATCGGTTCAATGGCTTCTTCCAGTGAAACCAATTTAAGAGATTGGTAGCCTTCGACAGGCTGCAAAAGCTTACGTGGCTCTTCGCCAATATCAGTAAAACGATCAAAAGATACAGTACCTTTCGCATCTGCCATTTTACCAACTGTTTCTAGTGAATGGTGTAATTTCAAGAAATGAAACTGAAATTACTTCTCTTGTTTTTCTATTCAAGCTACTAAAATGAGTTGATAACGTGGGTTTTTTCTTTTAGATTGAAGATGAAACGAAAACAAACATTTTTTTATCAACCGCTTTCCCTTCATACGTATGTTATGCTTATTTATCTTATCTAAAAGTCTCTCGAGGGAATACCATTTCAAGGAGGAAAGAAAACAACAAAATAAAACCCAGTCGGTATACTGTTTTCTAACAGAAGAGAACGTTTTTGTTTCGATATCCACACAACAGTCTTCATACTGTGTTGTTCGTTTGCTCTTCAAAATTAGACCTTGACTCTTCGAATCCGAGTAAACAGGCATTTTATTTCAATACATTTAGTGTTTCAAAGCTATTGCAAAGTAATTGGCAGTAAATAAATTATGAAAAAGCTCAGCTTTTTCTGAAATTTTTATCAATAGTCTCGATAGAATCTACTGGGGTCTGACTGTTATCGAAGACAATCATTTAATCAATACCCACATTTACAGTCACCATACAATAACCATAAAAGATCAATCCATTCTATCGAAATTCAACAATTTTCAGTAACCGAATCTGAGTCAAAAGTTCTTGGATTGTATGGACTTTACTAAAAGTTGATTGATTCTAACTAGACTGTATTAGAACTACGAGCTCCGAATAGTTTGATTTGACCATCCACAATTTGAATATCAAGATACCGTATATTCCATTCAGAGATAAATTTCAAATTTTTTTTCTTAAAGTGAGTTCAATTCTGGTTGATGGTAAATAGGTCGAAAGAGATAAATGTAGAAAAAACTGTCGATGTAGAATATCGCAGAAAGAGGGTGGGTGTCGGTGTGGGTGTGGGTGGGGGCGTGGGTGTGGGTGTGGGTGGGTGTCGGTGTGGCTGTGGCCGTGAGTGTGGGTGTGGGTGTGTAGTAAAGGCAGACACCCGCCCACACCCCCACCTACACACCCACACCCCCACCTACACACCCACACCCCCACCTGCACACCCACACCCACACCCACACCCTCTCTAACACTTAGAATATGAATATAAACGGATAAATGAATAAGTATGCCACTATAAGTGTTGTAAATATCTTGATGTTGAATTTTATCAAAATTTTCTTCAGCTTAAAGAAGTTAAACAAAGCTAAAAATTACTGTTGAATACTGAGAAACATTAAACGAAAGGTTTTAATTTGCTTTTCCGTTGATATACCGAGCAATTTCTCGGCGAAGAACCATATCATTTTTTTCAATGAAATTTCATCCTTTCACTCGTCAGAAGTCACTGCTTGCACAAGATCATTCAAATAATTTTCAGAAAGCGAGTAAGCAAAGTAAAACGTAATAAATTAGCAGTCTTTTGTTGAGTTCTTTTTCGATAAACTAGTAAAATTTCACATATAATATAAATATTTTGTATTTTCTACGATTACATAATATAAATCTTTTTTTAAAGCAGGGAGGGGCGTAATACAATCAAATACCAGAAGCAGGATGTGTTACACCCCACGCTCCCCTCCCCCCGCATATTTACGCTCCTGAGGACTGCGTCGTACTATATGTAAAGTCTCCTATAAAATATTCTTCATTATCTATTTTTGATATGCTTTCATGTGAAAAAGCCTATCTGCATCTGCTTCTGCAAAAAGGCCCAACTATGAGAAAATTGCTTAGAAAATATAAACAACAAACAATAAGATATACAACAATATTCCATATATCTCATTTGAATAATAAAACTTTTGAAATCAATCCAGTTGATCGAAAATTCTACTTACATCCACACTCTAATATGAAATAATAATTTAATAAGCACATTTATTTTCAAATAATTTCGATAAAACAATCTATTGCTAAAAATCAAGAGTTGAGAATATCAGATCGATTTAAGCCTTAAGTTTATGTGTTTTACAACTTTTTTTCTTTTTCTTTTTAAATTTTAATTTCAATGTTAAATTTTAAGTTTACAGCTCAGATCAAAACTGTTATTAAATAATCTACACAAATGAATTATCACTAAGAGAAGAATCCTTTTGCAAAATCAATATTAATTAAACAAGATAAAAAGAAGAAATAATATTAGTGTTAATAGAAACTAAATCCGATTTGAGATTGAACTAAATTACTTTCTGAAAGTCATTTTGTTCTAAGAAAAAGTTAATATGAAAAGGATGATTCCCATTAGTTTAATATTAAATGTTAAATGATAGGTTATACTTAATTTAATATTAAATTAGCAGATCCTGCTAATGTAGACAGTCAAGTGCTGCAAGTCAACAAGTCGAATAAATAAAAACATTCACATAAGTTATTCATTTTAATTAAATATTCTTATTTCTAAAATTCAATAATTTTGGAAAGTATGCGAGTGCGGAACGAATATCTGTATAATTTCTTCATATAGTTTATAAAGGAATGGCACCCACTTACTTCAGTTCTATAGATTTTATAATAAATGACTTTCCTTCTTTCAGTGTTTTATTAGATATGCTCTGTTGACGTCAATGAATTTCATATCCTTACATTTTTATTTAACATATGTGAAATGATATTGACGCATCTCATGGTGATAGAAAAGATGAAATAGCTAAGTCTTGGATCTCATAAATACGCCTCTTGTAAAGCATATTTAAAAAGAAAAACTTTGAATTATTAAATTATTTAGATTTTTATTAAACATCACATAAAAAAAATATCCATCAATTAAACAGTAATAAATCTTTCTATTTCTTTTCATGATTGTTGACGCAGTTGCACGATGTTGATGATGTAAATAAATACGAGAGAAAGGCCAAAAAAACTATAAAGAGCCATTTTTATATTTAGTTGTTCATCAATTCATAACTCGAAGATGTTCTACATGAATTATCTATTAAGTTTTATTGTTATACATGCTACTTTTGCCAAAGTTCATCTGAATCTTCATCACACAGATCAGGTAGGTGAAAATGAAGAAAAAAATGCTTTAGAATATGACTGTTTGCGTGTTCCTGCTTCTGTTAAAAATGCAAAAATTACTCGTGAGATTATATCTTATTGTATCACTGAATTATTATCAGAATTCCATCTAACTGGCAATGATCTTTTTCCAAAATTTACCTTTCTTGAATTATCAAAACAGAATATAACTAGTCAACAGTTATACAATTGGTCAGCATCAATTGATCTTGTTGAACGTTATCAATTCTACTTAAATCAATTATCAACAACATCAAATGAGAAATCTTTGGAAACACAAATTTTTTATAATTGTACATTACCAAGATTTGGTTCAATGTGTCAATATGAATTTATTGATTATCATGATAATTATTCATCATTATATGATATAATTGATGATTATTATCGTAATCATCCATACGATTCAACAAATTTAACCTGTTATACTCATTTACAATGTAATCGTGGTCCTGCACCAACATGTTTAACTTGGAGTGAAATTTGTGATGGCCAAATAGATTGTCTTGATGGCGAATTTGATGAAGAAAATTGTTGGCAACTTGAAATCAATCAATGTAATGATGATGAATACCAATGCTCTTGTGGACAATGCATACCAAAAGAATTTTTACGGGATGATTTCCAAAGTCCGGATTGTTTAGATGGTACTGATGATCACTCGGTGTTGAATTCTCTAATGCAAAAATGTAGCATCAATCAACCGTCATTTGAATGTGAAGAAAGAACTTGTAGAAAAATGTTTGTCACAAATTCCTGTCAGCCAGAACGTGAAGAACAATTACTAAGATTAATCTATTCAATGAATAACAATTCCATATCCGAACAATGTTCATCGGCTTTAAAATGTCTCTTCGAAATAGCTAATCCAAATAAAACACTTTATATTCCCATTTCGATGAAAGAAAGATGTGTAGAAATCATTAACAACACATGTCCAGATATGTTTTACATACCAAATAGCCCACTTCTCTTTGGTCATATCTACGTTGCACATAGAAAAAATGAAACAATAGATTTGCTCAAAGAAAATAAGTTATGGTATTATCTATGTTATAATCATTCTTACTATGATCAATATTTTATTAATGAAATACCAATAATATTCGAAGGTCGTACTTGTTATGGATATTACTCATTGTTTTGGCAATTCGAGAATATACCAAGATCACCATATATTCAAGTTTTAGAGAACAAATTTTTTAACTTGAAGAAATACATGACTATTTCTAAATATAATACCTTACTTTGTAATAGTACAAGCACTTATCACTGTATTCGTTCCTCAAAATGTATATCGATTAAACGTATTTTGGATGGTACATATGATTGTCTTGAAGATGATGATGAAAATATTACTCATATAAATAGCACTGGCTTAATTAAACTTTTAAAGAATCATTTTAAATGTGAAATATCTAACAAATATATTCATCTAATGAGTGTTCAAAATCAAATATGTGATTGTTCTGTTAAGGAATTTTTTTGGTGTGAAGATGAATTTGATTCATCATATTATGCTCGAATGAATGTTACATTTCAAACAATCTGTGATAGATATGTTGAACTTTTTCCAATAACTATCGGCAATAGAAATGAAACTGATGAAACAGAATGTCAACAATGGCCATGTAATAATATTTACACTCATTGTGATGGTATATGGAATTGCCCAAAAGGTGAGGATGAAATCGGTTGTTACTATCTTCCTTCATTGAATTGTTCTTTAAATCATCATTTATGTGTTACACCTCATACAAATCAACTTATGTGTTTACCTATTGCAAAGGTTCATGATAACGTCATTGATTGTCTTGGTGCTACTGATGAGAAAATATTATGCACAGATTACAATTTCGGACGTCAGGATGGCTTTTTTTGTGATAATAATTATAATCCATGCATTGGTTCTAGTCACCTATGTGATGGATTTGAACAATGTATGCATGGAGAAGATGAACAATTTTGTTTGAAGAATCAATCCAATACAAGTGAATTTGTTGATAGTAGGTGCTATATTGAAAATTCATCACTTCTTTCTGATGTAGAGAGATTTCTATGTCATGAAACCAAATCAACTGTAAAGTTACAAAGGAAATACTTTGCATTAGATGATGCTAGTAAATATGCTGATGAAAAAACGAAGATTATGGCAAAACTTGATTTTTCAACTTCATTTATTACGAAAATGCTTTATCAACATGTTTCAGAATGCTATCGTGGTTTTCGTTTACGCCTTTGGTTAAACAAGGAAGAAAATTCAACAAAAAATGTATGTCTATGTCCACCTAGTTATTATGGTGATCAATGCCAATATGAAAATCAACGAATAAGTCTAACTATTCAATTTCAAGCATTTTCTGATTCATTATCAACATTATTTGCAATTATTATTTCACTTATTGATGATAGTGACGAAAGAATTATTCATTCTTATGAACAATTAACATATTTATCAATAAGAGATTGTAAAATTAAATATAATATTTATCTACTCTACTCAACCAGACCAAAAAATTCAACAAAAAATTATTCAATACATGTTGATATTTATGAAAAAGATTCATTGAATTATCGTGGAAGTTTATTATATCCAGTAAAATTTTTATTTTTACCAGTTCAACGTCTAGCAGTTATCGGTATTATTCCAGGAAAATATGAAACCATTCGAACGTGTTCTTATTCTTTATGTGTACATGGTAAATGCATTATATATTCGAATAGTCGAGGAAATGATAGTTTTTGTCAATGTTATCGAGGATGGTATGGACGATATTGTACTATTCTACATACGTCTATATGTTCATCTGATTCAATATGTATTGGTGTATCAACTTACAATCGATCTATATGTGCTTGTCCTATAAATAAATTTGGTTATCGATGTCTTCTTACGAATACAATTTGTCAAATAAACAATAATTTAACTTGTATAAATGGTGGTCAATGTATTGCCAATGATGAATACATGGTAGCAAGTAAAACATTTTATTGTATTTGCCCAAATGGTTACAGAGGAGATCGATGTGAAATAGCTGATAATGAAATTATTTTCGAATTTGAAAAAAATATTGTTTTATCTCAATCAATATTTATTCATTTTATTGAAGTTATAAATGATGCTACACCAATTAGAACGACTACACTTCGAACAATTTCTTTTACACAAAAATCATTTACAATTTTTTGGTCCCGACCATTTCATCTTATTTTTATAGAACTTCAAAATAAAATTTATTACTTAGCATTTATAGAAAAAAATTACAATCAATCATCAAAAATTGTTACAATGGTAAAATTATCAAATCTTTGTCCAAATATAAATGAATTATTCAATCATACATTTGTTCGAATGCATATTATTCGTCGTATAAAATATTATCATTTACCATGTCAAAAATATTCAACAAAATTGAATTGTTTTCATGATGATCTTCATCTATGTTTATGTTATGATTATGGACATGAACGTTTAGCTAATTGTTTCAATTTCGATCATAACATGAAATTTGATTGTTCTGGTCGAAGTACTTGTCAAAATAATGGTCAATGTTTTCAAGACAGTCTAAAATGTCCACAACGATCTACATGTATTTGTCCACAATGTTTTCATGGAACACTATGTCAATTTCGTTCAAGTGGATTTGGTGTATCACTTGATGCTATATTAGGTTATCATATTCAACAAAATGTTCGTATCATCAATCAACCAAATATTGTTAAATACAGTTTAATATTTGCTATTATTTTTATGATCGTAGGATTCATGGATGGAATTATATCTATATTAACATTTAATAATAAGATTATATGTGAAGTTGGGTGTGGTTTATATCTATTAGGTTCGTCAATAACAACTTTAATTATAATAATTCTATTTGGTTTAAAATACTTCATACTTATTCTTACACAAATAGAGACAATACAAAATCGATTATTTTTACAAATTCAGTGTTTATTCCTTGATTTTCTTTTACGAGCTTCTCTTAATATGGATCAATGGTTAAATGCATGCGTCAGTATTGAACGAGTAATTACAATTGTTCAAGGTGTCAATTTCAAAAACACAATTAGCAGAAGAATAGCTAAAATAGTTATAGTTATTCTTGGAATCATAATCATTGGCGCATCTGCCTATGATCCTTTTTATCGACGTTTAATTGATGAATAAAATGATGGTGATAAACGAATATGGTGTATTGCTACGTATCCATCTCGTTTACAAACATTTAATTCTATTACTCAAACAATTCATTTTTTGATTCCATTTATCATTAATATAGTATCCGCTATTATTCTTATTAATGGAAAAGCTCGACGACAGGCTGCTGTTAATGCGAAGAAATCTTTTAAGGAAATTCTAATACAACAACTTCGACAACATCAAAATCTCTTAACTGCTCCTGTTATATTAGTTATTCTTGGAATTCCACGTTTGATTCTCACATATACATCAAGATGTATGAAATCAACAAATGATTCAACATTATATCTTATTGCCTATTTTATTGCATTTGTCCCATCGATGCTTACTTCTCTTATATTTATATTACCATCAACATTTTACAAGAACCAGTTGCATGAAACTCTTCTCACTTATCGAACTAAATTAAAAAGACTTTTTTTTAAATTTCATGTAAAATCAATTAAAATGAAGCTTAGTAAATAGTCCAATACATTAGAAGTTGGATTTGAGGAACTCTACCTACATTTTACTTAAGATAGAATAGCATCCATAAATACAAAATTAAGAATAAGTAAGCAGCTACATCGAGATACATCATAGTTCATGGCAATAGCTGTCTCACTACCCATAGAAAAATAAAATGGCGAAAAATCATGTAATTCACATCATTTTAATGAAAAATGCTCCACAGAGACATCATGTCAAAAGTGAAAAACATGCCATGATTCCGCATGAAACGGACACTTTCGTGCATGTTTTTTAAACTCATGCGATTTTTTCGAAAATTTCACTCCATGAAAATAATTAATTTTACACAAGTATTACGCCATGAAAATCATTAAAAATGTACGGAAGTCATCCTCTTTATCTGGTGAAAAAGAAATGCCATGATTTCGGATGAAACAGACACTTTCGTGCATGTTTTTTAAACTGATGCAATTTTTTCGAAATTATCACTACGTGAAAACGATTAAATTTACATAAATATTATGCCACGGAAATCATTAGCATGCATCAAAATCTTTTCCTGAAATGAATTAAAATTTAATGAAAGCCATGCCCTTATAACAATGAAAAAGTTCTGCGCCTAAGCCACCAGCAGAACAAGCTACAGGTGGCAGCTGAGTCTTTCACAAGGCTCAGACCGGTTGCCCTTTGAGGGGCTGTGCAGTGAACTCTTGAAAAGTTCAATTTAGTCTGGAGCCATGTAAACTGGCAGAAACCTAGAGCAATAAAATTTATGATTTCTAATGGGAAAAGCAGGGCACGACATCCTATCTGTCCTTTAATATTTCGTTTTTCATAAACCTAAAATGTGTAAGGACAGATGTGGAGATAAGGTTCAAAGTCATCAATTTTTTTTGATGAATTATCAAATTCATGAAGTGAAAATTATGCGAAAGTAATGAAAGCAGTATTATGACTTTTCTTTTTCCAGGATAATTAAAGTTATGAAACAAAAATGAGGAAAAGTAATGCAAAGATTTTGATTTTTACGTAGGCATCAAAATCATTGGTGAGAATAATGCAAAGGTAATCAGAGTAATATAATTCATTCGATTTTTCCAGAGTAATCGAAGTTATGAAATGAAAATGATTTAAAAGTAATTGAAAATACTGTATTCATTTTGATGTTTTCGAAGTCATTAAAATGATAAACTGAAATTCATGAAAAACTAACGAAACTCATCTAATGATTTTGATTTTACCAGAACAATCAAAGCCATCAACTGAAAATAATTCGAAACTAATCAAACTAGGGCTCGCTGTGGCCACGCATCGGTCACCCATCCATGAGGAAGGTTCGAATTAAAAATTCAATGAAATTGAATATGTCGATGGAAAGAGTACTAAAGATAGCACATAAAACTGGTGTCGCTGCCTACCGGATACGAGCGTTGTGGTAATGAGATTGTCATTGTTTCGTCCAATGGGCTTCCTAGAAAAATAACTTATCGAGTCGTCTTAAGTAAACCGCTAATAAGTCTTGATACACAAGTTTAATCAAGTCGAACTGCACGCCGCTATATAGAAGACGATGTATTTTCTTCGAATAAAAGTTTAAATGAAATTGCAAAGATTATATAATTTTGATCAAGCGTCCGCAAAACAATTTGAATTTCCAATGAAATTCCGTAACAAAAACTACTCAAAGTGTATTTAACTCACTTCTTTTACAAAGTTATTTATAGAAAACTCCATAGTCAGATAGATCTTTTCAAAAACTATCGAATGCACTAGTATTTATTAAGATTTGGTTGTGTCTTTGTGCATTTAAAAGAAAATGCTTCGTTACGGAATTTCTTAAGTATACAAATTTTAGTTGTGTTTACAGTATCAAGCGTTTTTCATTGATTTTATTGTAGATATGCACAAATTTGGATATATTCGGAATCGGCAACGAATTCTGAACTAAATGAGATATTTACATATTCAAAAGTACAACTTTGATTTTTTTCGAAAATTTTTGGCGAAAAAAAATGTTGGAATTTGTTTTCATGGAATCTTGTTGAAAAATGATCCATTCGATGCAAAATTTCATGCTGATGACGAATATATGCTTACTTTTCACTCTATGGCTTTTGGTTGAGAATAAATCACGATTGTTGAAAAAAGGTGACATTCCGTAACGATTGAAATTCCGTAACGGCCTGTACTTTTAGGTTTACTAGTCGATGGCACTTTATCTGCTAAGAGCTGATTCGATACATTGAAAGCTTGTTCAAAACTGAACAACTTTCATATATAACATTTTTCTATTGATCCATTAGTACCATACCAAAACGTTGAACGATCAACTCATCATAAAAAAATTTCCATTCTATGAAATTCCGTAACGCTCAGTATTCATTCAATAACTCTATTATAGTTGCGAAAAAAAATACTGAAATTTTCACTGTATATAGAACAAATGGCTCTTTATTCATGATAAAAATTTCACTTATTTTGCTTCCGTTGCTGAAAGACTATATATGTTCTAATGTGCAAAAATGCAATTTCGTAACGCTTGGCCATCACTGGCTATGACTTTGATTTTTCAAGGGTTATGAAAATCATGGAATAATAGTGAGGATAAGTGATGAAAGTAAGGTAATGATTTTCATTCTTGTGTAGTCATCAAAATATTGGAATGAAAATGATGCAAAAGTAATGAAAGTGCTGGTACCCACTGAAAAATGTTCGTGATTTTCATGGATTTTCTGCCACAAAATCAAATTATAATCGATTGATAATTTTGATTATTATTGATCATCATTTAGCCATTACTTGTTGTTGTTACTAGTCGAGTGTGGAATTTTCTGATTAAAATCGGATGATTCTGTACCAAATTCACGATTATCAATCGATTAATGATTTCGATCATCCTGCAAAATAATCCGATTTCCATCCGAAAATTTCATACTGAATAATTAACAATTTCAAATAATAGCTTAGTCGTGATCGAAAATAATTAAAATTATCAATCGATTATAGTTTTGATTTTGTTGCAGAAAACTCCGATGAAAATCGCGAAAATTTTTCACCGGAATGTTGTTATAATTTTGCAAAACAAATCAATATTACCTGATAAAAGTGATGAAAAAGAAATAAAACTAATGAAATTAATTCAGTTTTTTTAAGATAGACAAATTAATGCATTGGAAATGATGTAAAATAATGAAATTGATGCAGTGATTTTAAATTTTCAAGAATACAGAATTTAATGGAATAAACATGATGCAAAAATAATCAAAGTACTTTTATTATATTAGTTTTGTAAAAACTCAAGACCGTGTGATGAAAATGATGCAAGAAAATGAAACTAATCCGTTGAATTCAATTTTTTAAGAATTGACAATTTAATGAAATGGTAATGATGCAAAAGTAATGAAAGTACTGTAATGATTATAGTTTTGTGAAAAACTGAAGATCATCTAATGAAAATAATGCGAAAAACCTAAAACTCGTGCAATGATTTTAATTTTTCTAAAATAAAGAATTTAATGGAATGAAAGTGACGCAAAAACAATGAGAGTACTGTTATTATTATAGTTTTTCAGAAAAATTAAGATTATCTGATGAAAACCATGCAAAAAATTCAATTTTTCCAGAATAATCAATTTAAGACAGCGAAAATGATACAAAGATCATGAAAGTATCGGAATGACTCTGATTTTAGCGAAATAATTAAACTAACGAATTTTGTCGATGAAAAGTTTGGAAAAAAAATCATTTAAATGAAATGGTTTTCATTTTTTTATTACCTGGGTTATGTCTTTCCTTCGTTCACATTTCAAGGGAAGTTTATACAAAGAAAATAAAGAAACGAAAGTGAAGGAGACATTTTTCTGTTTTGCTTTCACTAGTTTGTTTTGTCTTGTTTTTCTTACAATCGGATCGGTTGTCAAACATTAAGCATGCAAGTGGGAGAAAACCCATATTGACTTTATGCTCTAAAAGTAAATAATTGAAGAAAGTTATTAAGTTTTCTTTTCTATATTTAGTATTTTTTGTGGGTTTTATATCAGTAACGTCATTTTCTCTTGAGTAATAATGCACATTTATTGCAAAGATGGAGAGACATATAAATAAAAATAAAAATAAAATAATGTTGCCTTCATTTTCGATTTCACTCATTCTTCTACAAGTATGTTACATAGAGAGAAAGACATGCTAATTTCCCATTGGTTATTATGTTATCGGTCCATTTTTCGATTGTGATCGAATTGCAATGTATTTATACACACATTTGATAAAAAAAGAGGTAACATCGGGTATTTCGTGAGCTGTATCCAAGTAGAGAACAGAAACTTTCTAAAAACTTTTTTCAGATTAAAATAAAAAATATAGACTAGATGTCAGTCAAAAAATGTGATCATATTTATTAGGTTGTCAACAAAGTTTTTGCGTTTTTTTCTAACCTCTCTCAAAATACTTATGAAGCGTCAGGAAGTTTTCATACTGAGAATGTATAAAGGGAGCACAAATATCTTGCAAATAACAAC